CTGCGCATTGGGTTTGTAGCCAAAAGTTGCCATCAACTTCAATTCCAAAAGTAAAGATGACATCTGAAGGACATACCTTCATGAATCCATTCCAACAAGTGACCTTAAAAAAAAAAACTAAAAAAAAAAAAAACACTCTACTAGAAGTACCTTAAGCCCTCTGGAATAGCTGCCCCAAAGGTGACTCATAAATGGCTGTCAGATGCCAGTCTTGGTGAGAGGTGGGTTCCAGCATTTCTCCTCCTCATCTCACCAGTCTCTGAAAGACAGGATGTTCAGGGATTCACAGCTATGACGTTGGAAATCATGAGCTTGAGCTCACTGTCTGGGGCTGGGACTGATCTGCCACACCCATGGGTGTTTCATTTTACTTTGAAAATATATTAAAGCCTTTTACAAACCCCAGTTTAGGCTGAAACAGACCAAAAAGCCCATGTTGTACACTCAAGATCTAAACATCATCACAGAATAAAGCAGCGCATTGGGTATTTGTCAGACAACAGATGTGGGGCCAAAGCAGAAACTAGTACAAGGTTGCAATGAACTTCTAGGATCTGTAACATATCACATCATACACTGACCTGCCCATCACCAAACACAGACCCCCCCAGTTTCCAGGCACACAAGCAACACCTCATCTCCCCCAGCTGTAAACACACGCACAACATGCACTCCAGATCCAGCAATCAGAAGTGCACACACCCGCTCCAGTCCCAGCAAGCGCACAGCACTGTGCTCAGCAGGACTCCCACAAAGTGAATCCCTAACCACACATCTCAGTTTTAGAAAGTTAATTTTAACCATTACCTGAAAGGCAGCTCATCCACAAAGTGTAGATCATTCGCAACAACAACGACATCAGGAGAGAGAGAGGAGTTTGGAAGGGGGGAAGCCTCTTAATTACATACAGTGCTGCATGACTTCACAGAGCAAAGCTTTTCTTTAAGATCTTAAGACCACCCACAAGCATAACACATGGCCTGGAACCTGAAGAGAATATCTGAACAGGGGTCTCAGCATAAGGATGGGAGGCAGGCAGTTTTGCCTGGGCATATGCAAATGTTTGTTTCTATGGGATCAAATAAAAATTAACTATTTGTTGTGTCTGGTTAGCACTTGTCTGAGCTGGGGGGCTGCTTGGTAAAACATGGAGAAATAAACCTCAAAAACCTGAGACACGGGAGGATTATTTGTCTGTGCAAGGCTTTAGTCACGGTTTTTGGTGTTTTATGTATGGATGTTGCGCAGGAATAGGACAACAAGGGCTTTGTTCAACTTGATCATCTCATCAAACAAGGCTAAAAGAATAAAAGTTGGGATGCAAGACTAAATGGATATGATCTGAATGCATATTTGTGTTACATCTAATACAACCAGCATCATAGATGAACAAGATCAAATAAATGGTAAAACCTGACAAAGAGAAGAATAGATGGTGTGTGGAGCCATCTGTTTTGGAGGACACCCAAATCTGTCTGAATCAGGAAGGCCAAACTACCAGCTATTCTAAGATCCTCCATTCCAAGAGTGGCCTAATACGCAACTACACAATCAGCTTCTCTCACCATCACTTTGGCTGCAACTTTTTTGTGCAATTAAGTAATTTATTCCTTTCTTCATCCTCCTGATTCTAATGAATCCAAGCCACAAACAAGCCCCAGTTGCTCCTATTCAAGGAGTCTGATTGCATCTGGCAGTAATTGCTGAAAATCCTGAAGAGGAAACAGGGAAGGAAAGCATATTGTTTGTGGGGGTAATAGGTGAAGACCTGCCTCTCTTGACCTATAATACATTAGTGTCAGTGAACATTTGGCAGCCTTCAGATGATTAGCAATGAAGATGAATCAAGCAAAAAAAGAGGTAGAAATCTGCCTCATCTGAATCGCCAGAACTGCATAAATTTGCATGTTGATTAGCTGTTCTTTTGTCTGTGTTCCTAATTATTATGACACATTATGTCTTCATCATGCAAGATTCTGATCTGTCTTGTTCAAAATGCATGTAGAAAAAAGTGCTGTTTATTGATTCAACATGTAACTTTAATTTTTATGTTTGCTTTAATTAAATACATATTTGATTGCTTTTGACTGGTGTCTCAGATATTTTTTTTTTTAACTCTTATTTACTTCATCCTGTTGACAAACAAACAGGTAACCTTTCTTTATTCTCAGATCACTTGCTGATTAAAATCCTCCCTACCCCCATCCTCTTCTTCACACACAACCACCTTTGCTTCCATGTTAGAGCAAAGATTACTTAAAAAAAGGGTCCTTAAGTAATGAGTGGTATCCACAGTTCTGAGCAGGACTGCAAGGACTTGAACAACATTAACAGTAGCAAAGAAGTTCATGTACAACACGGTCAAGTTAATTTTCTTACAACACGGTCAAGTTAATTTTCTTACACCATAAACTCATTAGCATTACGACCAATGAAGTGTCTGGAAATGCAGACCTTCTGATCCACAGCATTAGTTACAGCAGGCTAGACACTACCCATGAATTCTTCCACTGACTTTCACAGTAGCAAGATTAAACTGTAGAGTTCCCAACACCAGAGGAAGCAAAGTCCCCATCATTCCACTGACTCTTGCATGATTCCAACAATCACAACACTCTACCTGCCTCTGGTAACTGGGAAACTGTTTCTTCTTACAAGACTTTCTTGGTTAAGCAGCCAAAGAATCAAAGCCAAACAATAAAAAAAAAAAAAAAACAAAATAAGTAAACATCCATTGCTTTGACCTAAAACAAGCTTCCAGTATTCTTAGCATTTAAAAAAAGCAACATAAGATTAAATTTCAGTGAAAGATTTCATAGTATACTTCAACTTATATTTTATCTTTTTCAAGTTTTGAGATAAAATTGAACTCATTATGAAAGCTAGCAGCACGTTAAAAGGAAAACTGGGGAAACGTATTTCATTGTAGAGCACACTGAAATGTATAGAAATGTTGAAATGAAACATGAGGTTTTTTTTGGCTTTTTTTTTTATTTTTCCCAAATTGAAACAATTCTCTGAAAGTGGCACAAATTCACGATTTGTTTGACAGAAGTCTGCATGTCTTAACCAGAACCTCAGTTTCAGATTAAACATTTGACCTCTTCCCTGCCCACTAATTAGTCTACCTTCACATGTGTATTCATTTTGGAAATTGATCTGCACTGAGGTAAAAAATATTTCTCTGGATTTTTTGTTCCCAATAAAGAAAAATAAACAATCACTGTTGTAATTCGGAAAACTAAGTAGCCCACTGAACATGGCAACAATTCCTCATACTGTGGGCCAAATATGAGTGTCAAGACTTTGGTTAACTTCCTTTAAGCATAAAAATTATGTGCTTTATTATTATTCTTTTCTAAAATCCACTCTTTCAAGGAAAGCAGCAAACAGCCTATTAGATTTTCTTTAACAGCAATAGGAATATGCTAGTCTGTGTACAAATATTAATCAAAACTGTACAGATAAAGATGCCTGTGGGTGATAAAAGCTGTATATACAAACAGTTGATTTAGCTGTTGGTTTTTCTGTTTGTTTGTTTTTTACTGTTGTATCTCTGCCAAATCAAACAAGATTTAAAACAATGTTTACCATTTTTCACTGTTAATGGCACATGATTGGCTGCAAGGGTAATCAGTTGCTTGGTACCCAATAATCATCGTGAAACGCAAGTAAATACAAATCCATATTTTTAAGAATATGGACACATAATTAACACATTGTTAGAGCGCAATGACTTAAAGTCTTTGACATCAACCCACAAGGCAAGGAGGAAAAACTTGTTGCATTTTCAGGCTATCCATCTTCATTTTCCTTAAGTGCCAAGAGTATCTGATCCCAATCTAGAGGCAAGCAGTAACTACCACCCTGGACATCCATTGCAGTACCCAGAAGAAACAAAAGAGCTAAAGGAAATCTCACATGTGGACAATAAATAATAGAGATAAATCAAGTCAGCTAATAGACTCTTTTCTGCACTTTCCTTCCCAAAGCACTTCAGCACATGGCCCACACAGAGGCACAACAGTTCTGGGCTCACCCAGCCTCCACAGTAGCCAAGCACAGCCAGAGACAGGTAAGTGTACTGCAAACTAGAGCAAAGCACAATGGAAAAGGGTGCCCTGCTGGCATGACTGTAATGGGGCAAGTCAGTACTCCTCATCTCTGTCCTGGTAGCACTGACCTGAACACAAAGCAGCCACATGATTACCAGTAGTACCCTACGTCCAAGACCACCGCAACCATCAGTACATCAAGGCACTGCAGGTATCAAAGAGGACACATGATTTTCATTCACCACACAAGAAATCATGCTGATGAACGGATGAAGTGCCCTCTCCGTGCTTTATAGTACCTTGGGAAACACCAGACATCCTCCAGTCCTCCTTTCCCAGTAGCATCCTCAGCTGAGGAGGGAGGCAGAATGCAAGGAACTCGGCAAGCAGGAGAAGCTTGTTCCTGTAGTACAGCCTCATTTCTTCCAGCAAAAGCTGTTCATACTATCCACTGACTTCCATCCCCTCCCATAATCCTTTCCTCCAACTTACTTAATCAACAGGAAGGACCCAGCCCTTCCTCACACCTGGAAATCAACCCAGCTGCATTACAAGAACCAAAGACCAAATAATTAGATCTTTTGTAAAAGCTTCCCATTCCCTCCTCCTCAGCCCATGAAAAAATAAGAGCCTTATTTTACATCTGGTCAAGTTTATATTAACATTAAAATCCCAGAAAATGCACAGTTGAATTGGGCTTCTAACTACAATGAACGCACCAAAAAGCTCCCTCTGTTTCAGTATCCATTTGCCCTAGATTACACCTCACAGTACTGCTTTCTGTCCAGGATTGCTGCAGAGCCCAACCATAAGGCTAAAGTCTTGGAGGGAAGCTGGAGACACCAACCAAGAATTACCAACACACTGTGTTACAGTTGGTGTTAGAGCTGGAAAGATTGTTGTGTTGAAAATGGGACAAGAAACAAACAGGGAAGGAATGCTTACCTGTATCCAAAGATCTAGGTTCACAGGAAAGACTCCACTGAAGAAGGATCTCCAGAAAGAAATCCTTCCCCAGCAACAGTCAGCCTTAAATGGGGTCTAGCAGGAGGGGTGTAGCCAGGCTGCTGGTCACACAGCTGAATTGCCTTCACCTGTGCTTTCGTGGCTGAATCAGTCCTTTCTCCAGGTGATCAATCAGTGGTTCAGGCCATGGAAATTGACTGTGACTCAGCCTTGTGGAAACTCACCCTGCAGACATGAGTTCTTCCTAACTAACATCCAACAGGCTTCCCAGCTCCCAAGAAAGCTCTTACAGCTACTAGCCCAAGAGTGGCTGGGACTAAATCTGCTAAAAGTAAATCTTTTAGATCTGGGATGGTTTGGATTCAAGCTAGGATGTAGAAATGAAATAACTTGAGTTGCATTGATGTATGAGAGTCTCCTGTCAGTGGGGAGAGGGCATAAATCCATCTTCACCCTCCTTGACTTTAGCATTAACAATGAGATATTGCTGTCTCACCTGATGGGTGGCAGAAGTCTAGGGTAAGGTACTAAAATTATTTTCAGTCTTTTCTGCTGAGACTCATCCCATGACTCCTGAAAAAAACCATTATCTTCAGCATTAAATTCCTCTCTCCTGTGGACTTCTGATCTGCATTCTTTGCAGCACTTCCCCATGTCTACACAGAGCCACTATGTGACATGACATGAATTGAATTGTCAGAAGTAGACAGGTGAAATATGTCTATACCTACATCTTGGTGAATATAAACACCCTGCTACCTCCAACATGACAGTGGAAGAAAAGCAGCTGGTTACATTCAAGCAAGACAGAGGTAAGACAGATGGGAGTCAGGAAAGCATCTTTAAGAGCTTCTCACTTGTGTGCAATATGCTGGCATGAGGTTGCATTTCCAGAATCGGGTGTTTGTTTCATAATTTAGGAACCGCTCTTGGATTTGCTACTGATGCTAAGATTTCCCACAGCAACCTATGCAAATAACACTTCTGTTCTCTTCCATTGGCTAGCAGGCTCTCTCCCATCCTGGCAGGTGATGACCTTGTCTCAGTTATTCATGGCTGTGTCACTTCTCAGCTGGACTGTAGTCATTTGAAATATGCAAGCATGCAGCATTCACGCTTAGAAAACTTCATTTACTGCTGCAATGCATCTCTTCAGTGACAATGGCATATCAAACTTGGCATTGGGCCTGGCATCAGCTTCCCATGGAATTCCTAATTGAGTTCATGGTCTTCATTCTTATCATCCTCGTCACATCTAACAAGCTGTACAAAGCTGCAATGAAGGGGCTGTTTGACAGATTTGCTCCTCTAGACCTATGAGCTTGCTGCAGAAACACATCTGTCCAGAGCCTTCAGCCTGTGGATCAAACATCTTCACCTCTGTGATAAGGCATAATTCTCTGACTTGCATAAATAATAACAGCAGAAACAAGGTTCTCCATTACACCCACTTTTCCCTTGGCAGAAAGGTTGGAGAGGCAATCCCATCAGAAAACCCTGATAAACTGTGTAGGGTCCTTTCCTATACAGCCTTTCCCACAATGCTTGTTCCCCACGACAGATCCTCACTCCACAGGCAGCACCAGTGTCACCAGCAAAGCTAAGGCCTCCATCCACATGGCATGGCCCTGGCACCAGTTGTGCTTTGCTCAGTAGGTGCAGGGGCTGCCTGCAGGGAGCTGACCTGCCAAGCACACACTAAGGGCAGGGGCCCACACTGCATCCACCATGTCTGCGAGTCTGTGGAACCAACTGGAAGTACACCACATAGGTGGCACCCAGGTACTAAAGAGCATTATTGTCTCTATTTTTATTGTATACATTGTTCCTGAACAGATAATGAATTTGCAGGAATTCTGTATCATGCCAGCTCTTCAGTATGAATATTATTTTAATTGTTTAAATTGTGAGTTTATACGTTTCTCTCAGCTTGGCATACACAGTTTTAGAGGATGTTGACAGGTCACTTGGCCTTTAAGATCACATGTTCTCCGCTAGAATATGAATCTTAATCCAAATAGGACTTTTTATTTAATTGAATTTTCAAGTGCTGCAGTATTTTAAAGGAGCCTTGTTGTAAATCCCATCTTCCAAGTCTTGCAAGTGCAAAAGATCACATCTGATGATGGTAAGAAAGCAGGCCAAATTACCAGCAAGCACATGAAAATTATTTGCCATATGAAGGCCATGAAATATAATGAATATCTGCATAAAGGATGAAAATACTTTGCCTAAGAGCAATGTTTGCTGAAATCCACACTGATTAAACTACTGCAGTAAGAGCTGCCTACTGGAGGCTTCCTTTCCCATAGCTTACTTACAAGTCACTGATAGTGGAGCTATTACTAGATATGTTTATATCCATGGAATTGTACGCTGCATTGCACTTTTCTTGGGGGGAGTGGAGGGAGGCTGTAATTACTGTTTGTTCTGAGGAAAGAGTGAAGCTTGGTTTATACTCAGATTTCTAATGTATTCAGACAAATGCAATTCCTCAGTGTCCATCAAAATACAAGTATTTACATTACAATACAAGTATTTACACTGTACAGCTCTACTTGCTTTGACTCTATGCTTGCAATAAGAAATTACTAACATGCAGCAAATATCTATCAGCAGAATTACAACCAAGCAATGCAGGTTTTGCTAATTTAACTGAGTCTGCGTGGTCTAAGACCAAGATTAGATAAAGCCTGCTTAAACTGATGGCAGTTACGTGCTTGTGACCTTCCCAGTGGAGAGGGATTTCCAAAGCCACCAGTGTCACTGGTGGTACAGGTCTCTGCTGTGAAAACTGAAGCAGCAGCAGATACACTTTGAACAGACTCAGCAGAAGGAGCTGGCAGAGAAGCTAGCAGGAACAACAGCTTTGATTCTACCACATATATTTTCCAATCCTGAAAGCCTTTCTGTTATTTTGGTGTGGATTTTAGGGATGGGGGTGAGGTTTTTTGTTTTGGTTTGGTTTGGTTTTTTTGGTGGTGGTGGGTTTTTTTTGGAATTTCAGGTTACTTTGGCCATTTTCAACTATTTTCATTAGTGTGACTTGCTGAAATTTTAAAATCATGTGAGAGAACCAAACCTTTCCTCACTATGGTGGTAAAACTGAGGTTGGAACTTAAAAGCAGTAGTTGGCCATACGATTTTCCAGACACAATCCACCCACTCAACTGAAAAACCCACCAGACGGGGGAGATGGCATTTCCAAACCTTACCACATTCCTGCAGAAGAACCTTTCCTTTATCTTCCACCAGCCTGCAGAAGTCATGCCACCTCCTGCTTCTCCAGTTTTCCAAAGGCTGGAACAGATCAGAGAATATGTGGCTGCTGCTTTTTGCTATAATCGGTATGATTTTGGCTCTGAGGCATGGAGAACCCTCCAAAAAATGCCGTGAGCGGTCCACTCCTTGCTGCCTCCAGCCCTGAGGTCGCACAGCGCAGCGTGGCCATGTCCCCCTGGTGGTGAGGACGAGCAGGCAAGTTCACCTGCAGCTTCAACCATGGACTCTGGCAGGAGTGGTTAAATCACTCTGAGGGATATTAGGGACAGTAGTACCTATCGATAAGTGTTGTCCAGCTCCTTCAAAGTGGAGAATTTGTGGGTGCTTCAGCTTCCCTCCTGTGGCGGGCCCCGTGTCCTCAGCAGGAGGGTTACCTGAGGCCCACACAGGCAGGAGAGGCGTAGCCATGCCCTGCTGCTGCCATCAGCGCTGGGCTGCCACTGAGACAACAGCGCTTTTCGGCACAGATTATTGTTCCTCACATTCCTTTGTTTGCCATTGTAATCTCCGCAGTCATTCTCGTTGATAAACAAACAAGTGAAAAGATGCAATGAGGTGTAAGAATAGATTTGCACAGGGCAGACAACTGAACATTTAATTTATTTACCTCTCCTAACAGATACCTGGGGTGACATTTATTAATAAACGGCATTATCAGGTGTCTGATATGTAGCTCACAGAAATTAATTACCCAGCCCATGGTAAAACCATAACAAGCCTGCAGTGCTGTAACATTTGTGCTAATTGAAAATGAGATAAGTGCTGTGGGTGCAATTTGCATTCAATGCAGTGTATTAATTATCTTCAGTTCTCTTCATGATAAATATACCTGACTGAACCGCTCTGCTAATTTACTGGGTAATAGAGTCATAAGTGGATTCCCTTAGGTGACCAACCACCGGCACTGGGCTCTCCACAACATCAAGGCCTTCGTCTCTTCCACGCACTGACGCTGGTTAGCAGGCATGATATGATTTTCTTGCAGACTGAGTTGAAAGTACACAGCAGCAAACTCCTTTTGTGACCTCTCCGCTGCTCCATACGCAATTAGAAAACACATCTCCACACACAAGACTTTGTACTTCATCATAAAGCAAAACAGGACATATTTCATTTCCATTAATGACACGCCGCGAAGTTTGATGGTGGCTCCGTGAGGAAAGGCCTTTCCCTCCATGCTCCCCGTCCCTCCCCAAGCATTTCACAGTCATGTTGTTGTGAGATTTAATTAGATTTCTGTGTGAAATATAAATGAATTAACTCTTGCAATACCTGTAATGATCAGGACAATTCAGATTTAAAGGTACGGTGCAGTTCCAGCAGATTAAGGCATTAATTGTTGCTCTCACAGATGACGATTATATGGGGATCAAGTTACAAAACCAATATGTTCTCGAGTTAAAGCTCTGTGGCACCCTACAATTAGGACTAAAGGTTTTCATAAATGGGCCCAATAACGCAAAAAGCTCCATGCAAATCCCAGTCTTTCTACTTCAGAGGTCACATACTAAGGCAACTGCTAGTACTATACGCGACCACCGTCCTTTATTCACCCTGCTCCTCTGTGACTTGGGCATCTGAACTTGCTGCTAACCTTGGAAGCACTGTTGCTAATTTCAGGGTAGGTGATGGCAATGCAAAGAGATCAGGGCCAGCGCCTCACTGCGCTGCCCCTGGAGCAGCCCGGGCACGCTGTGACTGAGCGGTGATATCTGCCTCCCCCAGCTCCCC